GTGCCGCCGCCGGGGTGGTGGTTGGGGAGTTTCTCCGCGGCCGCCGCCCCCGAGACTGGCCGCGCCGGCTGCTGTGTCAGCCCCAGCAGCAGCTCATCCTGCATGGTCTGCTGATGCGCCAAGAACGGGGAGGAAGAGGAAGCGGCGGCAGCTGAGCTGCCCGCGCCGCCGCAGCCGAGGGGGATAGAGAAGGGGGAGGCGGCCTCCGAGAAGCCGGTGACAGGCAACGGCGGCGGCGAGAGCGGGCCGAAGGGCGTGGTGGAGGGCAGCGGGGCGGCGGCCGCGGTGGGCCCCGTGGCGTAGGGACGGTACGCCCCGCTGCCGAATAGGGACCCGGGGCTGCTGCTTCGGAGCGGGGCGGTCTGCAGCACCCCAAATCCGAAGCCCCTCATTTATCAGGCCGGCGGCAGCCGGAGGAGAGGCGCCCCGTCCGCTGCCCCGCCTAGGAAACCGCCGGATCTGGGGCGGCGCGGCCGTGGTGGAAGGAGGGGGAGTCAGTGAGAGAGGGACACCGTGACTGAGCCAGGGGCACCTACTTCGGCCCCGCCACCCCTCGCGGCAGTCACCGCCGCCTCCCGAGACCGGCTCGGGTGCCGCCGCCTCTGCCGCCGCCCTCGCCGCTTAAGAACTCCGGAACGTGCGTCAGCGCCACCTCACAATCGCACCGCCCCCCGCGGTGCGTCCCGGCACGCGCGGGCGCGAGGCCGCCGCGCCCCCGCTGCCCCGCCCCCGCCCCGCCCCTCATTAATATGCAGGCACGGCCGGGGGCGCGCCTGCGCTCCCAGGAAGGCGGGGGAGCGCGAGAGCGAGCGGCTTCGGTCCTCCGGCCCCTTTGGCGTCCAGGGAAAAGGAGAGACCGGTGGCTGTGGAAGGCGGCCGACCGGAGTCCGAGCGCCCGGCGCGCGCGCGCACGAAGGCGTGCGTGCGCGAGCCGTCGGCGGCGACGGTTCCTGGGCAACGGCCCCTCCCGGCGCGGGGCTCGCACGCGCTCTCCCCCCGTCGCCCTCGCGGCCCCGCCTCCTTCCTGTCACCTCCGCCCCGCCCCCGGTCACATGAGGCTTGGCCGCTGGGACGCGGGCTTCCTAGGGCGGCGCGGGCCCGCGGGGGAAACTGAGGCCCGGGAACCAGACCGGGAGCGGCTCCTAGTGACCGTGGCCCCTCTCGCCTTCCAGGCTCAGCCCTTGGGGTCCTTAGACCGGCAAGATCGTGCGGGCTCTGCCTGCCTTGCAGACCGCGAGCGGCTCTCTCCGCACCTCGTGCCCCACCACGTCCCAGTCTTGGACGTGTCCTCGCTTCTCGTCGCCCTAGAAAGCGCCTTCTCGGGCTTGTTTCCGTATTTAGCTTCTCGTGCTGTGTGCTGCCTTGGACCTTCCTGCAGCTGCGTGAAGGTGTTTTCTGCAAGAACCCTCAGCTGTACACCAAACGTTTTCACTATAGCAATTGAGGAGCAGAGTCCCAGGAACCTAACCAGGCTCCGGGTGGCTTTTTACACACGTATATGCATATAACAGGTTACGTACGGGGCGAGCTCCCGTGGTAACCCTGGGCCATGTCCAAGTCTTCGTATTTCACAAAAGCATTCAATGTGCCATCGTCAGGGCTGCTGTGTGAGGGACTCCTCCTCACCACGTTCATTCTGGCTCCCCTGTCCCTTCCCCCCCAGGGAGACTCAAACATTTCCTAAGCTTTATGAGTTTTCAAGAGAGAAAGATTTCTCACATCAGGGAAAAAAGGAGGCTCTGACTCAGCAACAGACTTGTTGAGGCTTGCAAAATGGAAGGGGAAAGAGCTTTCCATGGTAGAGCTCTTGTTGGAAGCAATAGCAGAGACGCTAATCCTGTGTATTTCCTTTTCTAAAGAAGCATTTAACATAGAGACAAAAATTACGTGAGGGTCTAGATAAAGAATAACAGAATGATCCTGTTTTGCAGTTTTAACTTTTTCTTGGCACTTAGGAAGGGAAACTATTTAAAGAATCCTAGAATACAGTCTAATCCCAAAAGCAGTAGAGGGGGTGTTCAGACTACTTGATATTTTAATTCTTTTTTAAATCGGAATACAACTGACCTATAACATTGTATGGATTTAGGTGTACAACGTAATAATTTGGTATATCTATATATGCTGGAAAGTAGTTACCACAGTAAGTTTAGTTAATATCCATCACCACACATAGTTAATTTTTTTTCTTGTGAGACTCTACCTGATTTTTATTTGCAACTAGTCTAAGATTAAATAGTGTTATAAATGGACTGATGTAGGCAGAATGTACTTTGTGATGAGTCCTCATTCTCTCTAAAATTTCATTTCTACTTTTGTTACTTCAGTGTTTCAAATTTACGTAAATCAGAATAAATACAGTAGAAAGAACAACTTTGCAAAGGGAAAATATGTTTCATGTGTAAGGTTTATGTCTGATAGCCTGTCTAATGAACTAAGGTTGATATTGCCTTTACAATAGGAAAAAGTGTTTTTAAAAAACTCAAATGGTTCAGAAATTGGTCAGGTGTGTAGAAAATTGATTCGAGTTAATAATCTCAGAACCATTTTTAACAATCAGGCAAAATATAGAACAGGAGAAATACTTTTATTATTCTAAATTACAATGTCTAGAAAATAACCTGAGCTCATTACAATTAAAAATATAAATGGCCATTTCCACAGCATCTATTGACAACTTCTTAACTATTATTTATTAATATATTTGCTAGGCAAAAACTACTTCACAACTGAAGACTTTAAGACTGTCTTTTTTTTTTTTTTCAACGTTTTTTTATTTATTTTTGGGACAGAGAGAGACAAAGCATGAACGGGGGAGGGGCAGAGAGAGAGGGAGACACAGAATCGGAAACAGGCTCCAGGCTCCGAGCCATCAGCCCAGAGCCCGACGCGGGGCTCGAACTCACGGACCGCGAGATCGTGACCTGGCTGAAGTCGGACGCTTAACCGACTGCGCCACCCAGGCGCCCCTTTAAGACTGTCTTAAAAATGAACACATTTTTTTTTCTAAGTAAAGTTATATTTGGAATCGTCTGCCGATCCAACAACAAGTCTTGAAAGAGGAAGAAAATATAGGCATGAAAATTAGCTCAATCATCCACTAGAATTGCCATTAGTGCAATGTAAGGAGGAGAGAGAATATACATTTACAAGCCAAATGCTACAATTCTGGGCTAAAGTTTGAAAAAAAACAAGATTTCTTGGTGATCTGATACTGGTTTTGTTTTGGAGGATTTAGAGACCTCCAAAACGGGAGAAAAGCTGTGATGTTTGGTATTGCATAGTAAGGTCAAATTTCATATTAAGTACACCAAATTCCAAAATCCAATTACCAGACCCTCTGCCCACCACTTTAACATCTTAGAGAGTGTTGTGACAACTCCATTTTTTTCATAGAGAGGAAAGTTACATCCTGAAATCTCAATCTTTTAAGCTGGCGTGCCATCACTGAAAATATTCAAGCAGAAAGGTTTCCTATAGTGGAGGGGCAGGTGGGCCAGAGGAAGGGGAGGGTGGTTGTGGTGTTCTAGAAGATCCAATGCCAAAATCTTAGGAGGGTGTATTCTCTGTTAACTATATGGTCGTCAACTCGGTCCCTGACCTTGTTCGACAGTCTCTCGATCATTTTCTACCACTGTCTCGGGCCAGTGTCTTTAAAATATTTTTGCTACAACCTAGGACATACACATATATATGTGCACCTGAAAGAAAGCTTTAAGCAATTCTTACTCTTTTTTTTTTTTTTTT